TCCTCTCAAAGACAGGCGCGTTGTCATTCACGTCAGAGATCTGTAAGGTGAGAGTGACGCTGCTGGAGAGGGAGGGCACTCCCTCATCAGAGCAGCTCACTGTGATGTTATACTCTGATGCGGTCTCTCGGTCTAATTCACTGTCTGTCACGAGGCTAAAGAATTTTTTCGAGGTTGTTTTCATCAGAAATGGCATGTGCTCTTCGATAATGCATGAGACTTTTCCATTTTCTCCAGAGTCAGGATCTTGAACATTAAATATAGTCACTACAGTTCCTGGCCTGGTATTTTCTGATATCGAATTAGTCTTTGACATTACATTAATTGAGGGATGGTTGTCGTTCGTATCTGTCACGTCAACAATAATCTTACATGAATCTGTTAGTCCTCCATCATCACTAGCTTGTACGTGTATTTCATAGTGCTGTGCTTTTTCATAATCCAAGTTTCCGACTAAAGATACCACACCGCTGTCTTCGTCTATTTTAAACATGGCGGGGACATCATCCAACGTGTTTGTTATCGAATAAGACACTTTTCCATTGGAACCTTCGTCTGCATCTACAGCACTAACTGTACTCAAAACGGTACCTTTTGGAGCAGTCTCCACAGCAGTTGCCTTATATATTTCCTGCGTAAAAACTGGGGCATTGTCATTCGCATCTAGCACAGATATTTCTACTCGCATTGTTCCCGACAGCTGAGGATCACCACCATCAGTAGCTGTGAGCGTCAACGAGAGATGCTCTTGCGCTTCTCTATCTAGTTGTTTTTTCAATATCATCTCAACCTTTTTACTACCATCTTGCTGATTGTGAAGTTTTAGATGGAAATCATCTGTAGGTTTTAGCGAATAACCCTGCAATCCGTTAACACCCACATCTAGATCCATGGCTCTCTCTAGTACAAATTTCGCTCCGATAACAGCTGACTCACTGATTCTAAATTTCATCTCATCCTTTTTGAAGCTCGGTGCATTATCGTTAATATCATTAATTTCGACTGTAACCGTAAAGAATTCAATCGGGTCCTCCAGTGTAATTTGAAGATGTAAAGCGCAAGGTGTTGTCTGCCCGCACAGCGCCTCTCTGTCGATCCTCTCCTTCACAAGCAGGGCTCCTCTGTCTTTATTCAGCTCGATGTATTCTGCATTGTCCTCCGTATAAATGCGAGCTTTGCCCGACTTCAGTCTTTTAACGTCCAACCCTAAATCCTGCGCTATGTTACCAACTAGAGAGCCCTTTGTCATTTCCTCTGGAACAGAGTATGTGACCTGCCCGAACACTGAGCTGTGGTAAAAGATCGAGAGAAACAACAGTACTTGCCGTCTCATTGTTCTCTCCCACATTTTATCTTCGACAAATCCTGCAGATGTGAATGGTACAGTATTCCACAAAACCTTAAATGTTCCTCAATCACAAAGCGTTCGAGAAGGAGGTTGATAAAATCCGTGTTTTTTTCTGAATCCGAGAGGGAGCGACTCGCAACGTCGATAAGTCCGGGTTTCTGCAACGACGCCAGTGTGTTGTGTGCGTCTCTGTCTCAGTTTCATGTCACAAAATGAAAGGAGAATCTTCTGTGCTGGTCAACAGCGGCCCTGAGAGTCCAAATAGTTAAACTGCAGGAAACTGCACTGTGCAGTATAAAACGCTCAGTAAGAGGAAATAAAAGGACTTGCAGTCTTTATAAAACAAATAGATCACATCACTCTGTGATTCCCGAGCAACGCCTCACTTTACAGGGGGAATTGTATAATCACTTTACTCAAGTACAATGACACCTAAATGCAAATTGCATCATGTAGACATAATTGCGTTGAGAGTGCAGTTGTTAGGGTCCCAATATACTTTTTTTTCTTAAAGGTATTTAACAGAAAAATAAAAGTATTTTTAGGTAATCAGAAACTGTTGCATCCTATAAGGTTATCTTGCAAATAAATAATAATTACCAGTCATACTTTAAACTAAGTCAGAGTTTAAATAAATCCACTTCAGTAACTATCTTTTTACAGGTAATTGCAGGAAAAAAAGGCACCATAGACATCTGTTAATTGTGTACAGAAAACTCTACCTAATAAATGTTTTTGCTGTTATGATAAACTGAGCACTGGAATGAAACGTTCTTTTGACTTCAGCAGATAATAAAAATGAATTCACTGCGGAGACTGTTCAGTCACGATAAGTACCAAGCTGATAAGTTATAGGCAAATAAACATGTTTGGCTGAGCTTGTTGATGGGTAAACAGATAAAGCACAAGATAACTTATCACCATATGTACCCAACCATCCTCATCATGTTTTATACGATTCCCCTCACATTTAAACTGACAATATAATAATTATTGACTATTTTCCACTTGCTGTATACAAAGTTTGACTGTAAGTCAAAGTGATTTATCTTTCAACATTTTTTACATATTTTGTTTCCCTCCACAACTTTATCCCTTCAAAAACCAAGTTCTCAGAAGATGGAGCAGGAATTCCGATGGAATGACTTATTCTGTTTCACTGAGCCATACATACTTAACATCATCAGAGGTAGGAGGACTGTAATCGCAGCAGATCTCAACGAGGTAAAATATGCATCTAATGACATGAGTGTGGATATTTCAGACAACAAAGACACCAATATTTTTGCTTAAAACTATATATTTTCCCCTACAAAAATACAGCTAGGCCAACCTTGTGCTAGGAAGTGTTCATGGTCTGAATAGGAAGAAAACACAGCTCATTTCAGAGCTATGAGGAGCCCCCTTATCTGCCCAGTCTTTAGCTACCAAACAGAGTATTTCCTATATGTCAAGGGATTCTAGAAACACAACTGCCAATAACTGGAGAAAAACATTAGATTCACAATCATTGCTGAACATTTTTTTTCTGGAAAGGGACAATGTAGAGATTTGTTTTGGAGTAATGGACTGACAGAATAATTCTTCATTGATTATCTTGGTGCTTTGTCCCGCTATAGATAGTGCTGTCCACGACCCTGGTGCTGAAAATATAGTATATAGGGTGGAAATAGCAAAATAGCTGATGAAGTCCACAACATTAACAGCTCAGCTCAAAAAATGTTTCAAATCAATAAAATCCTGTCATGCAAGTAAAGAACATAGTACAATATGTGTCGTTATATAAAGTGACTACAAATGTGAACTTGAGTTAACAGAGATGAAACTGCAGACCTCAACCATAATATTTACAATCAAAAAATGTTTACTAACGAAAACTATGAATTCTAAATTTGTTATTACGTGGTATAATCATCAAGTCAGCAGGAAGGAATGTAAGAAATACATAATGCACAGTGCATCACATATTGATTCAACTGGGATTTCACCCAAACGGAAATTGCTTTGTCTGTCAATCTGTAATATTTTAAATACAGTTCCTTCTCTAACTTAATATAATGGAATAACAACAACCAAGTCACCAAAAACTGCTGATTCTGCAAGACCTAAGATCATAATGGGAAAAAAGCATTCAGCGTGGTATATGCAACGTTTAAATTAGTTTCCACATGAGTCCCTGTAGTTCTCAAGCACCTTACGATGCTTTAAGACTGTTAAAGGTTGAGGTTGTAATGACAAGGATACACAGGACCAAACCTGCAATGTTGCTATATAACAAATACAATCATGTGAAGGTTTTGTCAAACAGTAAGTAAAGAGGTGGATACTGAAGGTGTAGCTTTAAAACTATAAAGGAATATTGATTGTATGAGTGAATATGACTACAGGAAGCATAACAAGTGAATTGAATTAATTAGTAATTAGTTCCAAGATCCTCCAGTTTTGGGTGCAAGCTAACGAAAAAAAAAAAAAAAAAATCATTTTGTGTCAGTGCATGAGACCAACCTCAAGAGGAGAGTCTGGTTCATCCAGGATGCTCTTTTCACCCTGTATCCGCTGCATCGTCCCGGTAGAACTGGGGTCCATGATCAGCACGTTCTGACTACCAGCTCTGCCGAACTTACAGTCACTCTTTCTGGAGTCAGTCGTCCTGCACACCTCGTAGTTGTACACGTGTTGGAGAGTCCC